AATAATAATAATAATAATAAACATTTATATAGCGCACAAACCAAGACTGTTCTAGGCGCTTTACAGTAATACAAAATCCAATCTTAAAACTAGTGTTAAGAATGTTAAAACTATAGAATACATCATACACTATTTAAAAACAAGTTAAAAAGATATGTTTTAAGAAACTTCTTAAAAATGGATAATGATTCACACATCCGAAGATGAACAGGTAAATCATTCCACAATCTTGGTCCAGCAACACAGAACGATCTGTCTCCGTATGTCTTTAGTCTAGAATAAGGAATCTGGAGCAATTCATTTCCATTTGATCGAAGAGTACGCTGCGAAGTCAATGTCTGTAAATAACATGAGTTCCATTATAGTAAATAATACAGAAAGAAATTGAAGGAAAACAAAGCAAGTCTGTTCATTTTCGGTTCAGTTTTGAACCGAGATTTTCCGAAGTTGACAAGTCTCTCTTTTCTCGCTCCGCCCCTCCGTACTACGTCATGTAATGTGCACTATAGTGGATCGATACTATATGACAATGAAAGAGAGACTTGGAGCAAGTCTAACTTAGCCTAGACTATTTATCTTTACAACAATTATGATATTACTTTCTTAACTATGTTTATCTGTTCACCTTTCCCTGTGGGAGGAACCCGGAGAAAACCCACGACTTTCGGCAGAGTGTTGACAGACTCTTTTCACATGAGTCCGTAGCGAGAATCGACCCCACGATCTTAGATGTGAAACGCGCTTTTTTGACGATTGCGCCACTTATGAAATGATAATGAAATTGAAAATGTGAAATGGAGCAACCATATACAAGAGAACACGTTAGAATGAGTTTTATGTTAGAATGAGTTTCGTTTTATTTCAGGCCTTAAAATATCGGTCGGTCACGGACATTGTCCGACCCATTCATGAAATTGTCCGATGTAGAGAGGAAACCACCGGACATTCTGTCCGACCAAAGTGAAACTGAGGTTTATTGTTTGTCCGACCCAAGTAAATTGGTGTCCGACCGTACTGTAGCTTTGTCCGACGTAAATCAAAATGTACCCTAGCCCAGGACTAGAGGCTTGTATGTTAAATGGAAAATCAGAGTATTATTGTATAAAAGGTCAACTGGAAATGTTGTTTTAACGTAGTCGAGCGCGGGGCGGCGAGCGAAATGGTGAAGTGGAAAACGGGTTTAAGTTGTCGAAGTCTTTTTTAACACTGCTGTACTGGCAATCAAGTTAATTTTGTCTTGGAAATAAGTATGAAAGAAACAAATTATTTAATATCTTTACAACATTTACCGTTCATTCATTTGTGTCGGCACTCAGACTTATTTCCGAGTCAAAACTGAACTGAAGGTCATCGGACATATGTCCGACCCAAACTCAACGTCACCGGACATTTTGTCAGACGGCCCTGGAAAAGATATTTTAAGGCCTGTTTATTTTTCTCGAAAAATAATAAATAAATAGTTTGACTGCCCTGTTCTTTCATATTGCCGACATTGTCCGAGTTTTCGTAGGGAGTCCCAAGAAATCACTGTAGTGTAATATAATCGCCCCAGAACTCCAGGGATAATTATGAACATTTCCTTCCCAGGCTCAGGTCTATTGTCTCCTGATGGTATTGCCGTTGACTGGGTGGCGAAGAACATTTACTGGACTGATAGTGGTGCCGACGTCATAACTGTTGCGCGGACAGATGGCCGTTTTCATCGAACTTTATTATTCAAATCTACACAATTACATCAACCACGTGGCATTGCTTTATATCCCAGCAAAGGGTGAGTACACCGAACCGAACTAATCGGAACTAACCTGAATACCTGATTAAAGGCACACTTCAGCCTTTTGAATGATGGTTTTTAAGGCGCATTTCAACCCATTTAATAGGCAATCCAGCTATAGACTAAATTTTGATCTAGGCAAGAAGAACAAAATCCATCACCATAGCTGGAAAGAGCATGTTAAAATTAGTAAAATTGCAAAGTTTGGTTGCGAATTGTTGTAAAATGAGGAAAATATAGCCCTGTGAAGTTTGCAAATTTTGTATATATTTGCATTACGCGCGGGAAAAATAACCATTTTTGAGTCGAAAGTGGTATTTTTTACCGCGCGTAATACAAATATATACAAAAGTTGCGAACTTCACAGGGCTATAATTTTCTTCGTTTTACAACATTTAACGAACCAATCTTTGCAGTTGTACTAATTCTAAGACGCTCTTTCTAGCTGTGGTGTTGGATTTTGTTCTTCTTGCCTTGATCAAAATTTAGTCTATACCTGCAATCACCCATTCTGTCGTTCATTTTTGGCAAAGATCTGAAGATGAAGAATTGATAAATCAACTCGGATCGGAGAATTGTGATTCAGTTATACGAGGAAACATAAATTAAGCTAAATTTATCCTGAGTTACCTCAACAATCGACAATGAATTTTCTCCTCAACTTTTTAGTTATATGTTTTGGAGTGACTGGGGTCTGAAGACTATTCAAAGGGCCAGCCTTAATGGAAAGAATATCAAAGTTCTGATCAACGAGAGCTTAAATTTTGTCAATGGCTTGACGGTTGATTATAAGAATGATAGAATTTACTGGGTAGACGCTGCTTTTGATAAGATCGAGTCGTCAACTTTGGATGGAAATGATAGGAAAATGGTTCAAGTTGATGGTATGTGGCAGTTCATGAAAAACTAACTTTTATTTGTTCTAGATAACTGTATATATCAGTTCTAAGCTGTTCTCTCTCTAGAGTTACAATGAAGATCATCCCTTATTTGCCCAGTATTACTACAGAAGGATACCAGGAGAAAACAGGGGCGTATCTACCTGTGGGGTGCAGGGGAGTGTGCACCCCCCCCCCCCGCCGGTGGTGTCCTGTCCAGCACCCCCTTGAAGAAATCTCTGGTATTCCATATTTGAGTTGTGAATACTACTTATTATATTGAAACGATTGATTTTCGAATACGCGAGAAAATATTCAAGCACCAATACGGCGGGTCACCATATAGAGTGACACTTTCGTTAATTGTTACCCGAAATACAAGTACTGTGAGGACAAATTTAACGAATAAACGTAGTGCTCAGAATGTAGGAAATGGCATTTCAGGGCTTCAGATTTCAAACATTGAAAGGGGCATGCCCCCGGACCTCCGTAGTAATGCGACCCATCTGGAGAACCTCCACCCCGTCTAACAAATCAGGCCAGATCCGCTTCTGGGAGAAAACCGGCGATATTTAGGAATGTCAAACTGAGAGCATTCTTCTCACATTCGAGTGATGATTCGATCGGGGTGGAATTATAATCAGAGAACTGCATATTGCAGGCATCGAAGTCCACGACCACATGTACATGCAATAACCTCTGTGCATCATTGCAACAATAACTACTTTTTGTTTTTGTTTCTCATAGGCCTTAAACATCCGTTTGGAATTACAATATTCAACGGAGATCTCTATTGGACTGACTGGATAGCACGGTCTATCAGCAAGGCTGGTATTGATGGTCAAAATCAACAAGTCCTAAAGACGGAATTACCGGGAATAATGGATGTCTGTGTTTTTGATAATAGTAGACAGAAAGGTAAATTTTATATTATTCAGCAAGTGTGACGATCTAACCTACAGATCTACCTACTTGCCTGCCTGCTTGATTGCCTGCCTGCCTGCATTATCAAACTCTCTATCATTTTCCAACAATAGTGAGATTCTTCTACTCTTTTTTAGGATCAAATCCTTGCGCCACAAATAATGGAAACTGTCCTGAGTTATGTCTTTGGACTGGTACGAATGTTGATTGTGCTTGTCGCAGTGGTTTCATCTTCAACGCTGAAACTCGAAAATGTGAACAAAATGCCCAATTTCTGGTGTATGCAACATTTAACCGTACGTATATTCCACTTCTACCCAGTATATATACGAATAATTTATTGAAATTATACACTATATAAAATATATCTATATACAAAGAAAAGAATGATAAAATATGGGATACAGTTAAAAAGAAAAAACTAACTAAGAATTTTTTGTGTGTGTTTTGATGTTATGTACGGTGAATATAATGTTTTTGATGTTACTCTGAGTGTACAGGGTGTATAAAAAAAGGTAATCGAACTTCAGCGCGCTATTATACGTGAATCACTCGGCGTATGAACAATTGGTTTTCATATTTGGAAAGATCAGGGTTTTAGCTATTGAATGACATGCTTTTCATGCCAAGTGGAGAAAAAATAAGCATGTACGAGGCCGATTAAAAATGTTAGTCAAAATCGCATATTTTCACCTCTGTGCCTAATTAAAACAATGCATAACAAAAGAAAAAGCAAGATTTATTCCTACTTAAATAATAATTATGAATATGTGTGCAGTTTAATGAAGTGAAATTCATCAACTTAAGTCCTAAAGGGGGTTCATTTTCAATGGTTTTAGACCCAACTCTCAACGGTGAAAATATGCGATTCTGACTAACATTTTTTATCGGACTCGTATTTGCTAATTTTTTATCCATTTGGCATGAAGAAGATATCATTCAACAGCTAAAAGCATGATCTTCCGAATGTAAAAAATCTCGTTCATATGCAGAGTAATTCAGATACAATAGCGCGCTGAAGTTCGATTACCTTTTTTTTTGTACACCCTGTATATCCACACCGGGCAGGCTGAAAAGTTTGCCTGACCACGGTGGGAATCGAACCCTCGACCTTTGGGATATTAGTCCAATGCTCTGCCAACTGAGGCTTGGCCTCGTAGCTCATAAGAATGTTAGAAACAACTAACTAAGAACGCAGTATATTAGTATAGTTTAGTTTTGGAATAAGCTTAGTTTTAATATTCGAAACATTTACAGAATTCCGAGGTATTTCATTCGATCCTGACGATAGCGCCGCCCATTTGCCTTACATCTCCGTGACTGTACTTTGC